CTGGGCAAGCAGATGGTTCAACTCTGCTTTCTTCAGGGACAGAGAAATGTGCTCACCTGGTTGTTGTTTTAGGGGGGAGGTTTGTCTCATTACACTTGTATGTGCACACTGTGTTCACGCGTGCTTGTGAGTCACAAAGTGAGAGTGTAAAAGGGACACTTGGGGGACGGGAGGGTGGGGGTCCTACTAAGATTAATGGAGCCAATCTCCAAACCTATCCAACAGAGTGACCAAACCCTCCCTATCCCATTTTATTCATCTGTTCTACTCCCCTTCTTTCTTTACCTCTCGCCTCCTTTCCCTCGATCTAACTCTAATTAAATGAATCAATCAGTGGCAACACAAACTGGACAGATAACATCAAAGTGCTGGGGTTAACAGCGTGTGTGTGTGCGTTTGTGATATCACAGTGTTGGAAGTTTAGCCCATAGAAAAATGAAGAAAAAAAAAGAAGTAAATGAAAACAACTATTGTTGCAACAGATGAAAGGTCCACAGCAACAAAAGGATCAAGCAGGAAAGAAAGCTCAGAAGATGGAAAGAAGGATTACTAGACATGCATTTGTTGCTAGGGTTTGCTCCTCTTGTCTTTAATGCTACTACTCCTCTGGGGACTTATCAACCCTGGCTGTGCTATCACACAAACACATGAATGGACATTAAGCTCTCCCACTGAACTATACACTGCCCTTGCCAACTCCTATCTCAAGTTCCTAGTGGACAATATATATAGCTTGTGTCAGGCTTATAATAATTAAAATCATATCAATAGCAGCAATATATATACATGATATATAAAAGCAGTGCTTGATACCACTGGTACCAAGCGATAGGGAAATCACTGCCTATATCACTTTTACTTATTAACCTACAGGCCTAAAATGCACATATATTTCTTTTTATGAACTGCTTAAGCAAACATAAGGCAAGATAGTCACCTTGACTTTTAAACAGTGTCTCTACAAAGTCACTTTATCCATTTCTGCAGTAGAGATATACCTGACAAAAGGCTAGATAATTTTATACAAATGTATTTAATAGCATGAGTTCATTCCAAAAGGTAATGTTATGGAAATTCATTCATAAATATTTGATAAATGATAGAGTGTTGATCTACCATGGGTAATACCATATTCCACAGGAGTGGCTTTWGAGAATGTTACATATAGTGTTACACATGCAAAAACTAAAAAAAAATAGAGTTCAGCTTCTTTGCGTACACTACTCTTAAAGGTTCATTGAAAAGAATTCAAAGTTAAACRCAATAAATTTGTGTTTATTCTAGGCATAGAATGATGTTGATGAAGCAACCAGTTACCAAAATCAGCTTGTTTCTGCCTTCCTGGTATAATCACCTGCTACACTAACTGGCCTAGCATGGAGCCCTAACACTATTGTGCCTTTTTTTTAGTTAGTAAAAATATTTTAGAAAAAAATACAAATACAATAAAACTTTGCTTCAGGGGCATCCTGGTCCCAGTGGGAGAACTTGTTACAGTGCACAGTGTAAGCACCCACTGATAAATAGTGTTATAGTAAATGTATTTATTTCACTTTTGTCAGTTCAAACAACAAAAAAACCACCAATGCTAATATATCCCTCTAGTTTACACTACTGCACATTAATGTGTGCTTCAGTAGATGCGAAGAGCAGATGCCTCTATAAAATGCTATCCCCTATGGTTTTCTGTATACGGTCACAGCTGAGCTGTGTGAAAGAGTTTAATGTGGTGTAGCGATACCGAGCTCTTTCCTGCCTATCAAACATGATGGGTTTTATTCTGTCATATGTGTCTGGCTCTGATAACACCTGGCACAAACTGGAACTGGGCACATACAGTGTATACGTGCATGCAAGACAGAACAACTGTCCCTCAACTGAGACTGGCCAAGAACTTTTTCAAACTTAAAATAAGTCTTCAAATCAAAATGTAATTGTTTTGAACACCTGAACAAAAACTGCATTGAGAAACAGTGTTATAAGGATTAAACTGTGAATGAAGACTTTCAAAGAAAACAGCAGGATGCCACTCAAATTGGAAACTAAAAAAACATACAGAGACAGCAAATATACTAACATGGCTATAAATAGACACCTGGCCGTACTAAAATCTGCACAAGTGCCATTCAAATCCTTGAATATGAATGGAAGTAGTGAAAACATGGAAGGCTATTTTATTCAGCCCAATTAAAACAAGCAAAAAGCCCAAATAAAAGAAGTGTTTTATTGCACTTCCCACTATCAGCAGAAAGGCTCATTAGCCACAGCAGCATAATTAGCAAGATGCTGAACTCCTCGTTAAGGAGGGGCCTGAGCCGTAAACAAACCCCGTTGAACTCCAAACACCCACAATCCCCCTTTCTCTCTGTAATGAACTGCCACCGCTGTTCTCGCTTTGCAAGAGAACAGACAGGAAAGGCTCTGACAGAAACAAACAGCAAAACGCTTGTGTCGACACACTGACAAACACAAATCTGAGCTCTGCTTCAAAACCACTCAGGGAACCAACATGCCACCTCTCTGGGACACTCTCTCCTGACAACAGCATGGACAAAAGCACACAAAACCACGCACTAGTATGTAAAAACAAATTGAACAATTTAGTTAAATTGTTTTTTTTTAATACAACAGGCACAGAGAAGTGTACTTCACAAAATAGAGACAAGATCTGACAGCTGAGATAAATCCTGCCAGCTGTCTGGATCTTGACTTTGGCACTGTTGTAATCCTCAACCAACCACTAGCCTGTTTTGAATATGAAACATTGCCAGAATCAACATGAGCCGTGCTGCAGTTAATACACGTTAAATTAGTTGATTTTTTTAGGTTTTCTCTTTAAAAAGGACTTTTTTATTTGTATAATTTCCTTTCTTTTTGTCAGTTTATATTAAGTATAGAACTCCATTCATCTCTAATGTGATGAGATGACACCAAGCATTTCTCACATTTGCATGCAATGAGCTCCCCTATAAAAGCACACAAAGAAAAAAATAGCTGCAACATAAGGATACGCAGATTTTAAAGAATAAAAAAACATTTTGAAAATGAGCTGAGTGAAAATGAATTTATCTGTATTAGGTAGCAAACCAGTAATATTTAAATGGCAGGTATGAAAATTTTAAGGAAATTTTATACACAAATACATATAATGCAAAAAGTACGAGTGTGTCTTGAGAGAAAGGGTGTGATAGAACAAAGTTGAGGTGGTGTTTATTTTCATCATTCAATATACTTGGCAGTGAGAGCTTGGGTCAACTTCCTTATCTTGAGAGTTTAATCATTGTTTAATTTTGGCCTTGTATAATGTCACATGTTTCCATCTGAGCAGATTTGCTGAGTTGCAGTAATCGGGAGGAGGATGAACTCTGAATTGATTCACCCGCATCCGCATCCATCTGTGGACAGTAGAAGCTGTCCCTGACTTAATCTGTATCAAATAATGTTGTCATGAGATTGCCATTTCCCCTTTTCCCTTAGGCGGTCTCATGGCCAATGT